GGGTACCGAAGTTAAATGGAGTATTACATAGATTTATAGACTAGTTACGAAAAGAAAAGATACAATAGTGATACTTGTACCAGGAATATATATATATATATATATATATATATATATATACATATATATATTATTTATTTATCACCCTTTTATTTTGATAAAGATCACTACAAGTAGTCTCATTACAATAACTCATACTTCAAAGAAAATAAAACCAAAATCTTAAAACTTTGATGCCACTAAACCAATTTTTTTTAAAAAAAGAAAATAATCACTACTTCATATGCTTGGGAGCATAAAGAGAATATAATTAAATATGTAAGAAACAAAAAGTATGTTAGAGTTTACCTCAATCTGGCTTAGTACACCCCACACCGAATCATCATCATCCGATGGCACGGGATCAACGGTCAACCTTCATTCTCAACCGGAAAAATAAGTTTAGGCCAAGCCCTCCAACGGAACTATGAACTCTTATTGATCACAAGACTTAGACTTGAGTTCAAACCCACAAGACCTCATCTAAGATAGCATCCTCTTAATACTACCCAACCCTTAGGTTCATTGATGCAAGATGAGAGAGATAGAACACTATCTAAATGGGACGTGCCCCTTAGGTCAACCTAGAGAGAGAGAGCTCAAGAGGTAGGGCGTGCCCCTCGCCCCACACAATAAACTAGAGAGAGAGTCTTCTAGGGTTGGGGCGTGCCCCCTATTGCTACCAAAGAGAGAGAAATATTTGAGAGAGAGAGAGACAAGAGAAATTTTGATATAGAGATTTCATGGATAGAGATCATCTATTTATAGAGCAAGAAAGTGATTAGGGTTTTCCATGACTTGCCTCTTTTTTGTGAGCTTGAACATGAACCATTGATCTTGGGTGACTTATGGAGTGAGATATTTGAGCTCTCCGTTCCATAGATTGTTCATTAACATTATGGAAGATGCTAGAACCCGTATCCGTATTTCTTAAACCATTTTCACATCGATAGAAATTAAATAAAATAATTTCAAATATAATATTGTGCATTCCAAATTAATGCACAGGCCTTCTCATGCTGTCCCAAAATCCATTCAAATTTTCCTCAAGTTAACATCTTTCCAAAACACATAGCAATTTGCCTTTCAAGTCAAAGTTGCTTATCACAAAAAATTAGAAATAAGAGCGCTTCTAAATGGGTGGGGCGTGCCACCCATGAGAGGATCTCATGGGCCCCACCATCTAGGATATGGTGGGCTCATGTGCACAGTGAGCCCCCATGCAATTTTAAATATTTTAAAACTCATTACAATATTTTTAGAATTTCATTTGAATATTTAAATCAAAGAAAAATCAACATCTTTATTTTATAAATCCAAATTTGATAATAAAATATCAAAAGATGTAGAAAAATTCAAATAATCATTTTAAAATAATATATACCATAAAACAAATACAATTAAATTCATTAGATGGGAAAATGATCCATATGGTATAAGAATTAAATCAATAAACACTGGGCCCTCTATCTTCAACTGTGGACTATAGACCACATTTGCTTTATCAAACGGACCTAGTGTTTCCTATGACCCACAGTCCATACAGGGGTTCCATTCATAAGTTTCACCCTGAAATGTGGTTCGCTTTCTTGAAACGGCTATCATTATGCGTGGCGTGTGATGATACATGGATGAGGCTTTCACTCTCGTCTTTGAAGGCCATCATCACACACAAGGGTCACATAGTCCCTCGGCTCACTCATCCGAGCATACTCCGACCTCATCAAGGAATGACTTATTAGAACTCTTATTAGATAATTTTCTATACCCAGGTAACATATGTTTTTCCCAACCGACTGACCTAGCTTATCAAGCTCAGTCCGATTCAGCAAACATTGTTTGCTTAGTATAATCCACAAGGGACCACACTCTCACTTAGTTCATGTTCTATTATATCAAAATATTTTATTACAAATATTCATAAGGCCTTTAATGACCACACTCACCCAACAGCTAGTACCCTTATGTCGTGGCCTTAATAATCGTGATTAAGTTAAAAGTAAGCATAAAGTGTTGATAATACGAAACAAGCTCCCAAATAAGAGGTATCACGGTTGAGTTAAGTCCGTGGTGCCTTAAGCAATTCACTTAGAACCGTAATGATCCCCTAAGAGGCATTAGGATTGTGTGACTACCGTGATGCTTTTTAAGTCATCCACCTTCACTTAAGAATCACGATTCCCTTACATCCATGAAAGATCCCAAACGATAAAGATGAGCGAGGTTTTAAAAGATTTGGAGTTATTTTTTTTTTTTCTAATGACCTGAAAAAAAGCACTTAGAACCATAAAGGGAAATTTGATCACAAGATTCGAAACGTTAAAGATGAGAGGTTTGGAAAGATTTGGAGTTTTTTTTTTTTTTGATAATAACCTTGAAAAAAAAAGAAAAAGAGAAGCAATGTAATTAGAGAGATCCAAATGAACCTTGGATATCACCACATGCCACTCTCTCCTCGCACACGCTTTCCATGCCCTGCCCCTTCTTCCAAGTTGCAACTGCTTCCCCCACCGTCCATTCCTCTCTCTCTCTCTCTCTCTTTCTCTCTCCTCACTCTCTACAACAGGAATTACTTTACCAACAAATCCCCTCCCTCTCTCTCTACCCAAAGATGAACCTCTCTCTTATTAATTGAATGGTACTGCCTTCGTTAGTGTTCTTTCAGAAACCGAACTGGATTTATCACACTTGTCGGAATATTCCTCTTCTCTCTCCATTCCTTCTATTCTCGCAGTCTCCTTCCTCTCAACGATGATGAGGGCCCTCAAGACCCGGGATCGCCTTCCTCTCCGCCGATTGCGTCAGGTTCGTTCTCTTTCTCTCTCTAATCCAGTTGACTTCTCATTTACTTCATCTCTGAACCTGTTCGATTCAATTAGCACAGGATTTCTAACCAGAAAATTGTTGCAACTGGTTGACCATGTGAGATCTCCTTTTTTTTGGTCTGGAACAGTGATAATTCTCTAAAGTTCTCTTTTTACCATGCTATTTTTAGTTCAATAGTGCTTCCTGTTTGCGATTTTCTTCTTATAGTTTGATTGAAAAATTTGGAATGCCTCCTATTTCATCTATTTTGAGAGGTCAGTCTTTTCGCAGTGGATTACCTAGACTATGCGCATTCATGGGGCCCATTGTTGTTTGTGTGGGGAACTGCATCTTTTAACCGATTTTAGTTATTTGGGTTTTCTATGTTTTCTTTCTAGTTTACTTCGCAGGTGGGTTATTTTGATTACTGGTTTTATTGTGGAGGCCATTGTTGCTTGTTCTACGCCCTGCATCTTTGAATTTGTAATTTTCATTGCTTTTAGTTTCATCTTGTGGTTTTGGGATTAATTGTGATTTTCATTGCTTTTAGTTTAATCTCGTGGTTTTTGGATTAATTGGTCTCTGCTTTGATTATGGCTGCGTGTGAAAATCTATGAAACCTTTCTGAGTTTTCACGTCTCATTGTTTTGTTTCAGTAAGGGAGTCCTGCAGTGGTAATTGGGGCAGTTTTGCTATTGGTATTCAATCTATTGGCATCACGATCAGTGGGATAATTGTCTCCATTTTCCTGGCTGGCGATGGGTTTGGCTCGAATTGGAAATGGGACTAAAGTTTGCGAACGTATGGCAAGTAGAGATGCATCAGTTTGTGCTTACCAATTAGCTCTATTGCTGTGTCCTGTGGTTTCTGTTTGGGATTGCGTTGTTAGGAAAATGAGATATTCCTTCATACCTGAGTGGGTGTAGCTAGTTCACTCCAATCGAATTTGGGTTTCCTTATTTTAAATTTTTTGGATTTTTGTTATAAAAAGTCGTTTGTCCCAAGTCCTTAAAGACTGTAATCTATTTCTAAGGGGAATGAAAATCAAAAGAAGGTTTTTATGGTTTTATTCATATTGGGGGGAAATTAAGAGCTAGATAAGTGGATGAGTGTGCATAAAAGGACAGTTTCTCAGTGGTTCCTTTACAAAACATTGATTAAATAAGACAAGACAGAGCTAGCAATCATGGATAGTTCTGCTTGTGTTGCATCAGTTGTAAGGAAAGAGAAAAAGAAGCAGGGGAAAGATGAAGTGGACCGCATAAAGCAAGCCGAGAAGAAGAAGAGGCGTCTCGAGAAAGCACTTGCTACCTCCGCTGCCATCCGATCTGAGCTTGAAAAGAAGAAACAGAAGAAAATTGAAGAGCAAAAGCGTCTCGATGAAGAGGGTGCAGCCATTGCTGAGGCAGTGGCTCTTCATGTCCTATTGGGTGAAGACACCGATGAATCCAATCAAATTCTTCTTAACAAGAAGCAAGGGTTAAATGTTGGCCTTGAGCGCAGAAATGTTGGCCTCTTCATGGGTGGATGGAGAAAGGCTTTGCCACAGCAAAGCTGTGCAAGATACTCTGTTGAAGGACTTGGGTGGTTTTCCAATTCGAATGTTTCTGAATATAAGTGGAATAATTGGCATATGGGTCACTTTGGGTCACCTCAAATAACTGAGAGAGATGTTTCCTTTGCTGGTGCGAGGCTGCTTGGTGTTGGCAATGGACCTGGTATGCTCATGAATGTCTGTATGGAAAGAAGGGGGCTCTGTCATGATGAGAGAGGTTGGGGAAAAGAGATCTCGGTTGCAGCTCAGGCTGTTTCTTCTCTTCGAATCGCAGAAGAAGTACATGCAGTGAACCTGAGTGGTAAGTGACCATCATCAATGGTTATAGATGGGATATTGGAGGGTGGCAGTTTGAAGATCAAGCGCAGTCTTTGTAGTAAAGTATGAGTCCTATTGATTATTCCCTGGTAAGTTTTATGTATTTTATCATGTGTGTTGCTGTGTAGTTACTAGCATTAGTGTGTATTTTCCAATACTAGTGAGTGGGATGGGTCAAAGTTTGGAGGTCCTTACGCCATCAAAAAAACACAAAAAAGGCTTGGAGGTCCTTATTGATTTCTGTAAGTGTTCGTACCTATTAATGAGCATAGTGCTATTGTTATATAAAAGTGTTCTTTGGTCATGTATAACTTATAATTGTGGTAGCTTTTGAATCCTGTTACTGACGCAGTGATATTCTTCTCAAAGTGCTATTGATATTCTTCTCTTTATCATATGTGATCTATTTTCCAGATTCACTGGTGCCTAACTTCTGGACTTCTATAGCATGCTATTAAAAGGTATGGTTTCAATGTGTCAAGGAATGCAACTTGGTTTGAGTTATTGCTGTTAGCATCCAAGTTATTTGTTCATGGAACATGCAAGGGCCACAAGTTTCCCCATATGCCTAATGTCATATGCAATCTTATGGAACACTAAGTGAGAATAACATATGGTGGTTATTATGAACTTCCTACACTCTAGAACTTGCAGCTTATGCTTTGAGAAGAAGGTTTTTAAGGCTGTTTGAAATGAAAGGTATAGTTGTTTCATTTCAGGGTGTTTAATCTATCAAGCAGTGTCTTACTACTTGGTTCAGCTGCAGAACTAGGCCCCTGGTCTGGCAGAGTTACTCACGGAAGTGCGAGTTGACTTGTCGGAGTCTGTGCTGAGCTTGAAAGAAGCCCCACCCCAAAAAAGAAAAAAGAAAAAAGTAGGAAAAACCCTGAAAAAGCAGCGAAAGTAGAAAACTAGTAAAAAATAAAAGCCGATAAAAGTTGGAAAATGATACTAATTTGATGACTTTACAGTGAAATTTTCAGTATGGAAATTTTTGTAATAGCCTTAACATATATTTTCATCTTTAATTGTAAAATTGAAAGATTAAAAAATAGTGTAGATCGAGCAAACCTATGAAAACTTGAAAATCTTGAAAATTGACGGTCAAAAAATGCGTTACAAGATGCACTATTTTCTAAACTTTAAATCCATTTTTTTCTCATCTCCATCCATCGTGATGTCAAGATGATCAATTTGATGATTTTTGGGCATCAAAACAACCTCTTCTAGTGAAAGTTTTGAGGTAGGCTGTAATTTGATTGTTTTGAGCCTAGGCTCTATATAAACTTTTCCTAATATATATATTACCTCTGAGTCTTGGGGGTTTCAGGGCTTAGCAGCCTGCTAAGCCTGAGTAACTTGGGTGAGTTGGACTTGCCCAAGTTTGCAAACATTGCTGTCAAGGCATATGTACTGTGATTTAGTTGGAATACTATGGCTCAATGGTGACAATGGAAATCAGAAACTGATGGTATCCTGAACATTTGATTCACATATTGGAATATGGTTAAAATGTTATCAAACTTGAAGCTTTATAATTTGCTTGCTGTTGATTAACATAAAGGAGGAAAAACAATCAGGGCTTTACAAGTGCTCGTTACATCATGCATGTAGAGATGCCACAAGTCTGGTGCATCAGCCAACCAAGGAGGGCATGAACCTCAACACCTTAAGACTTCTGGGTCTGAATCCTAATCCATTAATGTTCTCACTTATGTGTTTAGAGTTTTCTGTTTTTGATCTTTATTTTTGGTATTCTCCCATCCTTGCTCTTTATTTTGTCGCCCTCCTCTTTCATCCCTTGTTGTAGTTGTACATCTCTGTTTTGTCAGTATTATTCAGCACAACCTTGTACATACTTCACTTTAATATTTAATGATTAAGGATGGTAAAAAAGAAAGAAACCAAAAGATGTTGCGTATGATAAGAGTGATTAATATGACAATAGCCTGGCTTTTGATAATAATGATGGTGAGGTAGATTCAAAGAGACTTTGAAATGATTTGAACTGCAATATAAGTTGTAAAATATGTTTGAGATTATTTGTCAACTAAATTAGTTTTTGTGCATTTGACTGGTAGACGAATAACAATTTGGTTTTTCAATTTTACATTTAAAATTGTTTAGTTTGTGCCAAGCATATTTGTATTAAGTTTACTGATTCTTCCTTTTTTTGCCATTAAGAAAATATTCTGATGCTTATTTAGTCTATACTTAGATTAATCAGGTTAATTTGCAGTTTATGTTTTTCAATTATAGTTGTTGGAGGTGGGAGTAGGTTCAGTTTGGGGAACGGTGAACCACTATAGGGTGGAAGATCCCGGGGCTAGGGTTGGCGTCCGTACATTCAACAAGATCCAAGATCGATTATACATAAAATGAGATCAGTTCATAATATATGATAAAATTAGGATCGAGCCAATATCAGCTCAATCCATTGTCATACACCTTAGCTTATTACCAATGCCATAATTATAGTACTTCAATTTACTACAATAATACAATTTAATAATACTATAAATTGGCTTATTAGGATATTAAATTGTAGTTTTCTAGTAGCATATTCAAGTATACCACGATGTGATATGCACCACAGTTTAACATATTCTGAAAATATAAATCTGTAATACCAAGGAGAGGACCAGAAGTTCAATTAATAGTATAGCTCCTCTCCTTGGAGGGAGCCTACAAACATGTAGATTGAGGTCCTATTTCATAGGGAGCGAGATCCCTATTTCTCTAAAACTCGCTCCCTGTAAGATCCTTAGAGGAACCGCAGGATTGACTTTCTAAGGTGGGACCGTGGCCTCACCCCCGAGGTTCTTGCGACATGTTTTCAATAATAGAATAGAATTTATGATGATTCGTTACATGCATGATCTGAATCTTGTTGGTTACCTACCAGAAGAAAAAGGAAAAAAAATGTCATGGGTGCATTTCAAATATCAAGTTAAGATTACTATACCTGAACAAAAATTGCACATCTTAAAAAGTGTATAAGATCCCGAACCGTTGTATTTTCTTGGGTTGTCTATTGATAAGTATTATTTATGAGTTATGAGTAAGAGCTTCTTCAAACGATGTAAAAGGTGTTGTACAAGTCCAAAAGTCACTAAATAAATAACTTGCCCTTCTCTGATGGTTAATATCTGGTTTTACTCGCATGAGGATTTTAATTCTATCTGCTCCTCTTTTTGTCATGGTAGTCAAAAGCAATGTCCTAAACCATGGACTCAGGTTGGAGCTCACTGGGGTCCTGTCTGAGTCAGGCAACTTGACTCGGCAAAGTCCTAGAGGGACTCCATGGAGTTTCTAAAATATTAACAGAAAAAACCTTGGGAACTGGCAGGACTCAGTTGCTGGACCGGGCATGACAGCCTGCCAAGTCTGAGTAGGTCAGTTGCCCTAGTCGGATTCGGTGAGCTTTATATCACTGGTCAAAAGTGGTCCAGGCATGCCACTGTCTTGCTTGGGGCTGGGGGGAGGGGTTTGTGGGGTTGTTATATCCTCCTGAAGCAACTCTTAGACACATTTTGATGGATCTAAGTGTTGAAGCAAAACGAAATAGATATCAGATTGTCAGAAAATGAATGTGCTGTTTAAATAAATATCTAGTACTGAATCATAGGTGCCATTTTGCTACATTGGACACATTTTTTCTGTTGTAAACATTGAAAGCAATGGTTGATTAGGTCTCAAGACCTTGTCACATTCTTGGATTCTCCTCTGAGGATTGTAGGAGACAAAAATGCTCATCTGGTTACTTATAAAGTCTTCTCTAGAAATGAAGCCTACTCTTTCATGTCATGCCCCTTCCTTCAATTCATGATTGAGGCAGTCTCCAATATTATACCTCACTCTTCATTTTCAAATGAAATGCGGATAAGGACTTTGAGGGCTTGTATGACTTCCCAAGGCGAACTATAGAGAACAAAAGTCCCAAAATATTTTGTTCTCTTATTTAGTGAGCTCTTCAATTTAAATAGTCTAGCTAGGTATATTCACTTTGTTGTCAAATTAAAAGTCTCTCTGTCATGTCTAAACTTGCATCTGCAGAGTAACTAACAAGGCCATCCTTTCCATCATTACTACATATAAAAAGCTGACATTTTGTTCAACAAAACATTTTGTACTGCTCAAAATTGGAAGTTCTAGTGATCATTGTTCAAAAAACGGACCGCCCAGTGCTTAGATGGTCCAAAAAGCTTGGGCGCATCGCTCAGGCCTAGGCGGCCAAACTGGGTGGTGGTCCTTGGGCAGCCGCCTAAGCGGTACGGAACCCGCCTAGGCGGCCGCTCAATGCCCAGACCTAGGCGGCCTCCCAAAGGCAAAATTTTTCTTTTTTTTTTTTTTTACGATTTTTTCAAGATATAAAAGTTTAGAGTGATGGGTTTAGGTTCATTTGAAACCTAAACGCACAAGAACCCCTTTTAGAGAGAAAAAAACCTCAAAAAACTACATTTCATTGGATCGAATCATCGAAGTGTTTCTCAAAGTTTGGAGTTCGAGCAACTAAAGTAAGTGCATTTTTTAGATTGCTTGATTTATTTTGAGATGTCTTCTTCAAGAGTTAGTCGGAGTGGAGATCCGGGTTGGAAATATGGATACAACCCGAATCCAAATGGAAAAAATTGCGTTAGATGCAATTTTTGTGAAAAAGATATAAAAGGAGGAATAAACCGGTTTAAGAAACATCTTGCTGGTATTAAGGGGGATGTTGCCCCTTGTAAACTTGTTCCTGAAGCTATCAGAGAGGAGATTAAGCAATTTATAAGTTATGTAAAACAAAAACAAGAACAAAATCCTTGTCATAGATCTATTTCTATTTCTGCTACTTCTAGAAGAAGTGATCCGGGTTGAAAGTATGGGTATAACCCAAAACCAAATGATAAAAATTGTATAAGGTGTAATTTTTGTGAAAAAAATACCAATGAGGGTATTAGCCAATTCGAAAAACATCTTGTTGGTGTTAGAGGTAATGTTGCTTCTTGTACAAAGGTTCCTGAAGCAGTTCGGGATGAGATTAGACATTTTTTGAATTTTGAAGAACCAAAAAATGATGAAAATAAGTCTTGTTCTATGGAAGTATCTTCTCCAGGTTCTAGTCGGAGTGGTGATCCGGGTTGGAAGTATTGTTATAACCGGAATCCAAGTGATAAAAATCGTATTAAATGTAATTATTGTGGAAATGATACTAATGGGGGCATTTACTCGTTCAAAAAACACCTTGCCGGTGTTAAGGGGGATGTTGCCTCGTGTAAAAATGTTCATGAGGCTACCAAGGAAGAAATTATACAATATTTGAGTTCAGAGAAACACAAAAAAAATGGTAGAGAAGCCAAGACTCCTAGGACCTCATTTGCCACATACTAGTAAGAGGAAGTAGAAGAAGAGGAGGAAGAAGAGGCAAATTCAAAAGAAACAGAGGAGGACGAGCATTATATTGAAGGGGGAGATGACTCTGATGATGATGACCTCGACTCTGATGCATATGATGAGGCTTGCCCTATTGATATTCCCTCTGATGATGACGACGACTGAAGACTCTTGCCTCTTAGTGTTGAGTGTTGAGTCTTTTGACTGTTGTGTTGAGTCATGAGTGTTGACTTTTGTTAGACTGTATATTTTTAAAATTTCTGTATATTTCTGTTGTGTTGAGTGTTGACTTTTATATCCTACACTTGTATGGTTTTACACTTTACTGTTTTAACAATATGGATTATCAAAATTCTCTTCTCGACGTCTATCTTTTTTTTTTTTAACTTGTTTACTTTTTTTCAATTGGGTAGCCACCCAGTTTCTGGGCGCCCTCCTAGGCGCTAGGCGGCCTGGACCCCCCAGGCTGCCTAGGACCCGCCTAGCGCTTTTTGATACACTACTAGTGATACATCGCCTTGCAACTATTCTACATTTTATAATGTTTTGTCATTTGTTAGTCTTCTGGGGTTTGTCTCTTTGTCAAAACATGGTGAATTCAGGTGTGTGGTTTGCCTAACTCGTCCAATTTCATTTCTAATCTATGCTATCAGGTTACTGTGGTGCTTGAGAACAATCAAGACTTACATTGTATGGAGAACATTTGTGAACTGCACCTTAGGCTTGCATACCAGTGACGTTTGAGTCTCAAGTGTAATTCTTTGAAGCTTATGCTCCATATTCATTGAAGTGGTTCCTAGTTATTCCTTGTGGTGGAACCCTTAATGTACTTGGTCCACCAAGAGTTCGAATCTATTTTTTTCCTAAATCATTGTTTTCTATGATCTCTCCAAGTATATTTTAGTCTCTTAAGAAATTGTCAAAAAGCTATCAGGTTACTGTGGTGCTTGAGAACAATCAAGACTTACATTGTATGGAGAAGATTTGTGAACTGCACGTTAGGCTTGCATCCCAGTGACTTTTGAGTCTCAGATGAAATGTTTGGTCTCAAGTGTAATTTCTTTGAAGCTTAGGCTCCATATTCATTAAAGTGGTTCCTAATTATTCCTTGTGGTGTACTTGGGCCACCAGGAGGTCGAATCTATTT